TTATTAATTAAAACATGTCAACAAAATAACTTATTATTAATAAATTATTAGGACATGTATTTGCACCCAATTGAATTAACATACAAATAATATAATTTACATAAAACCTTAGTAAATAGCGTAATATACAATAGGTACAGTACATGTATATAGTTTAAACAATGCAATCAATTAAAACCAAATATCGATATAATTAAAGATTAAAAAATGAACAATTGAAACTTAACTTGAAAAATTAACAAATAAAAAATTATACAATAATTAGTCACTTATTTGTTAGCCACTAGTTTTTTTTCAAACAAATACAACTCCTATGGACATAATGGTCACAATTAGCCACATATGACACCCAACACAAGGAAACCCCATGTCGGCCCTGTGGCACGACTCAGGTGTGTAGTCCTTACATAGGACATCCAGGTCCTTTAGTAAAGTATATGGCAATTCATGAATTAGGTCCACCTGTCGTGCATCACACGTGTCTCTGGCCAATGATACATAACAGTCCCTCAGTCGCCATATGTCGCAACACTTGACACTACGGGTCCACTCGTTATCGGCGTCCAAATTATTGCCCTTTTCCATCACCATGGTCCTTTGTTCAGCTTTCAGGTTACAATGAGTCATGTTTTCGTGTATTTGCGCGAAACAACTGGCCTGTCAGGGTGATTGGCAATATTTGTTAGTTATTAGTTAATGGTGATTGAAATTAGCTGTAATAGTATTGTTAATGAATGTAAAGTTAAAATATTATATCTAATATTAATTATTCTGTAAAATTCTATGAAGGGAGTTTACAAATATTTATGTATTGAATATAATAATATCTGATAGACCAATATTAGATGAGTCTCTGAAAAAATGCTTTTATTTCTTGTTTAAATATTGCTTTCGTGTAAAGTTTGAAATACTATGTATAAACTGATTACTTTCAAACTTTACACGAAAGCAATATTTAAACAAGAAATAAAAACATTTTTCAGAGACTTATCTCATATTGGTCGATCAGATATAATAAAATCGATCTGACAAATACATACAGTATGCTGTATATTCAAACTAGAAACTGCATGAATATGTACACTGTATTACAATACTGTATACAAAACATTTATATTATGAATATAAGTATTTTAGTTTTTTAATGCAAAACAAAATATATTTAAAGAGAATTGCCTCAAAACAATAGGTTTTATAAATTACACAACAGTTTCTAAAATATTGTATTATTTGTTATTTATAGACAAATAATTGGTATACATACGATTATCGGATACTGACTCGTGTGACCCAACTGTCCAAACAACAAATCCGTCGCTTTTGGCAGTTTAGGGGCCGACTGTTGCCCACTAACAACAGCCAACAGACTCACCATTGACCACAAAATGTACGCAAAACTCATCAAACAAATAGTAATTCACAAATAAAATAAGAAAATTAATGTTTTATTAAAATTGATTTGTTTGAAATATATTGAAAATATCGTATCATTTATTTGTAATTCTCTGAAAGTGAAAAGATTTTTTAAAACTTTGCCCTCCATTTCCGGGCATATCTCTAACATTATTGCAAAAAAAAACATTGAATGTGTTGTAAGTTCTCCCAAATGACAAAATTCCTATTTAATAACAGCCTTTCCCTTTCGCTTACATAAGGTATTCAGTGTTGTCTCAGATTTGCATTTATCGTGTATTTTGACGACTGATTAGATTGTAAATAATATTTATATAGTCACTGCTATTCAGTTTTAATGTTTATTAATGTTTCTAATTTATTAAAAATATATATATAATTAAATAAACTATTAAAATAAATTACAATTTTCCATTAGAAAAATATGAATCATTTTACTTGTCTTAATGTTTTATTAAATATCAAAATATAATTATATCTAATTAAAATTGGTGTCAATATTATTATTGTATTTAAATAGTTGATTGGGTCTATAATATTAATTGTAATAGACATGATAAATGGGTGGGGTGGGTGTTAACCAGAAAATATTTAATATGAAAAACACAAATATCTGTTTATTTTATTCATTTTAATTATATAATTCTGTAGATTAAATAGCAATAAATATACATTTAGATTAGATTTTGTTGTTATTATTAAAATTTTAGTTCGTAGTGTACAGTACTTTGTGATAAACAATGGCGATACTTAGTTTTATACAAAGAAAATGTCACTTTCTTATAAATTTTGTATTTAATAAATGGACTTCATTATTATTGGCAATTTTAAATTATTTACAAATCCTAGTCTTTGCAATTCAAACTTTATTTTTGTTTATCACTCGAAATATGAACTATACGTTTAAATCATATATAAAACTATTGGTGAAAGTGTTGTGTCTTTCAGTGCTATTCTACGGAGGAATAGAAGTGACAAAAGAGTACTTCAGTTATCCATATGTTTACAGACTTA